GTATTGTAACTTTTTCACCTATTAATATTATAGGAGCGGCAAATTTTTGGTGCCTATAGCCGTAAAAAAGATAAATCCGCCTCTGTGCATACCATAAATAARTGCTCATTCAAGATAAGTTTTTAGTTTGAAATTATTGATAATAAAAGTTTATAAAAAAAAAAAACCTTATGTACTAAATAATAATCAGAGAATAAATGCCTATAGTGCTACTTCTGCAGTTAAACTTACTGCCATATATTATAATATAATATTGTAGTTTTTAAATTTAATAAAAAATAAAGCTATCAACACTCATCAACTTCTCATTATTTATATGGGATTATCAAGAGGTTCACATTGATTGTCCAAATGTATGGTTGTTTTGAGTGTATACAGTACTATACTAGTTATAGTAAGTTTAAATTTAAGTTACACTAACATAATAATATACTAAAGACAGTGGATACATATCCCTTCTATTGCAGCCTAATTTTTTTTTTTTTTTTAACACTATATTTGTCATGGAAAATGTAACTAGTGTAATCATGAGCGATTACGAGACATCAGAAGGGTTAAGCTGTCCAAAATTGTTATAGTTATACATGATAGGCCATTTAAGACTATACTACGAATATCAAACTATATGGTCGAGACATCAATTACTGGAGAACAATAATATTAGTATAGCTGACGCATTAAAATAAAATAAAACTTAGTTATAGGCCACCTTAACGTAACTAGATGAAATACGAAAAACGTAAGAATTGTTAACAGTTTTTCAGTTTCACATGGAAGTTAAAAATGTTTGAGCTCCTCTGACCTGACATGTAACGGATGCCCGACATCTGTTCGATATACTTAATTCCTGGGGAAGGACCCGGTATTGGCGATGCTACCGAAAAACCTAAGGTCTCTGGATAACAGATATTTTCACGGTGTGTTAACGTTGGCCTTAGAAGATCAAAATAGAACTATTGCATTACCTTCCGCGTATATAGTGTATCGTATATGTTATAATATAGCAATGTTCAATGCTTAATCCTATACCCTATCGTGCATAATTGGCTCTAAGGACGTTTTTTTACTTATCGTATTGTTCGTTTTTTTTTTGTATTAATAACACGAAAAATAAATAAATATAGGAATTAAATGATTTTTGTCTGGCAAATCTCTTCTATTAACCGAATTTCTAATGCCTGTTATGGTAATATCTAAATTAAAAAACAGCTAACAGGCATACATTTAAGCAACAATAGTGTTAGGATGGTTTTATATATTTGTTAGACTAATTTTTCTTTGCATCAGCTAGTTATATAGAGATATTGGATATCACAGTAGTGAACTGGGATGTCGGCGAATTGGGATTCGGCAAATTGGGTTTCGGCGACGTGGGRAGACACGCAGTAGTGAATCCCTATTGTCTTCTTAAATAATTAATGGGACGCAGATTAAAACAAATACGATTCTTTTTTTCGTAATAAAATAGTAATTGGTTGGACTGGTTGGAGGTTGCTAGGTTAGGTAAGAAGTTCATGCAGCAAATCGCCATAAATGAGACATACTCACGTACTTTTTAATTTGGAATCAAAAAATATTAAAATTTTCTAAGATAATATTTAGTACAAAAGTATGATATGGAGTATCATAGGGATCAAGCTACCAGCTACCTTTATTACCGGCGATGGGTAGTAATATATGATATACAACTTAATATGAACAATTTTAAAATATAATACCCTCTTTTATAATATTAATAAAAACAAACAAACATTAATTTTATTACCAATATTTTTCTTAGTAGTTAAAGATAGCTCCTTTTAAATGCAGTCTACATAGGTAAGAGACTGAATCCACTTTCCCTCTCTTAAAATCTTAACATCTGCAAGTGCCTATCGATGGCATGGCTATATTGACTTCGAATTCTACTACATTTTTATCCATTATTTTTTATTTATAAAATAGATATACAATCCGTATACAATAAGCAAATAAGTTGACATTAATTAAATTTTGTGTTTTAGAAGTGGCATGGCAGCTTGAGTTAAGAGAGGGTCCATCGACACTACTACAAATATATAAAAACTTAGGGGGTAATTTTCCTTAATATAATAGATACTAAAAATTAATGAATTAATCATGTGGCGATTCACGTGTGAGCCGACGGGGAAGGTCGTCGTCAAGTTATGTGCTAATGTGCATGAAGAGAGCTTAGATATTTAGGAGGCTTATGTAAGTGAAAGTGTTGTATTGAATTTTTATGAAATTTGTGTTAGTGATAGGATTCCTCTCAGAGGAAGTATGGATATTGATATATTTTAATTGTATATTGAAGTCAATGAAGTCTTGTTGATTAATATAGAGTAATAGGTATGTAATGTTACGGACTTCTTAGGTAGGTAACATAAGGTGCGGTATTACAGACAAAATCGAAAATCCATTTTTAATTATAAGTAAGTAGGTACAGTCGTACAGACTACGCCCTGCTAAAAATACCAGATTATTTAMCTAATTTTATATAAATATTCATTGATAACATATAATTTAATAAACAACTCCTTATGACCTTATGTGATGTCTTATTTTAAAGGTTCCCAAACTATGGGTCGTGATTATGTTTTTGGTGGTTGGTTGGGTGGGTCATATTAAGTTTTGAAGTCTTTTTATATTTTTATAATCTACAATTTTTAATATTAGATTACTTTAGAATATAATATAAACATAATAAAATAAAAGACATATTGTAATAGATTACATAAATTAAAATAAATTTTATACAATATTTCCCATGTAACTAAATCTTACATTATTCAAGTTTGAATTTAGTTTTATCATTGATCATACTAAGTGCTTGTAAGTTAAAAGAGCTATAAAAGAAAAAAATATGCACGAACAATTTAAAATATGCTTGAAAAAATGTCGAATTTACAAAAAAGATTAATGAATCTTCACAAGAATTCATAAAAATTCTAAATTCTAAATTCTAAAAAAAAAATTGTTATTGATTGCACTAAAGTCTAAAAGAAATGTAAAATATGGAAAAAATTGATTTATCACATTTCAAGTATGAATATAACTGTATTTTGATATTTTATTAAATAGAAAAAATAGTTAAAAAATAAAACTGAGCATTTGAGTATTAGTGCAATAGATTATTAAAGTTTTATTAAATGCACAACGCACCGTTGCCGTTAAATTAAAAGTCGATTCTGATGATATCAATTAACAATAAATATCTGAGTTAAATAATATTGAGTTTTATATTCAATATTACCTATTATTAAAATACTCAGCTTAAGAAAGGCA